ATAAATTTTACTTAAAAACTAATCAAATATTGAACTCTAGTTAATGATATGCATGCAAAAGTAGTTAGGGGAAAGTCTGCTGATGTTTGCAATTTACTTTGAAATGTGTCACAGAAGATAGATTGATATGAGACAAAGCAAGCCTAGTCAAATTTTAATGGTACAATTGAGGTGGTGAGTATATACATGTTTTCACTGTAAAATTGTTTCAACTTTGCTCTATATTTGAAATTTTTGAAGTCTTTACAGTGGTTGACCAAGCTCTGGCCCAGCACCACCTCCCAGACATCATCTCCCAGCTTTCGTCACCTGGCCCACCCAGCTGCAGCTAAACTGCCTCCCTGGTCTTCTTGAACACAGGAAACACAATCTGATCACACAGCACTGGCTTTGAATGCTCCTCCCTCAAATACCCACAAGGATCACTCCTCCACGATTCTGCTCAAAGGGTCTTTGGGAACGGCTTCCCTAGACCACCCTACATAACAAAGCAGCCCACAGCAACATCGACCACCTCATCACAACACTCATCACCCTCGAGCACAGTACATATTCATTGCCACCTTCCCTACCCTCCAACCCATCTACCTAGAATAGAAATTCCACAAGAAGAATGATTTTGTTTTGCTCAGTCTTGTTTTCCCAACACCTTGTACAGGGTCTGGCACGTAAAAGGCAATCAATAAATCTTTGCTGAGTGAATGAATTAATAAATGAACGGGGTAAGTATAAATGGCATGGCTTTACAAGAATGAAATTTGGCAAATCTATCAAGAGCCTTAGTATATCTACTTTTATTGATCCTTCCAAATTACATGATCATAAAGATATTTATCTCAATATTCTGTATGAAGAAAAAAACTTAAATCTAAATCAATGTCCAACTATAGAGAAAAGAACATTTCCACCTCAGAGCTTCTGACTTTACTCTTTGCTGTTCCAATCTTAAACTCGCTAAATCTTAATTAACTTCTAATGCCACTTCCTTATTATAATCTCTTATTCTTTTCTTCATATGACAATTTAAGTTATATATAAATTTATTTTTATTTAAATTCATCCCTGCTACTAGCCCCATTAGATCAAAGACCATGTCTATTTTGCTCAAAAGACATATTTTATCCCAGACTTGAGTTGAATAAATGAACACCTGTAAGTCCTCGTAGTTCATGGCACCAAAGTCAATCTATGTGTAAAACTGGGAGAAAAAAAATCAAGAATGTAAGTATGATATTTTAAGATAACTGAAATAAATAATAAGATAACAACAGCTAATAGAATTCAAGGAACTACTGTTTTTTTCATATGAATACCACAAAACTATTTGGTTTTTAGTCCATGCACATGTATCACTTTGATTTTTCTTTTTAAAAATTAAGGCTTTTAAGCAAGAAAGCATATATTTACATTTCCAAAGAGAGGCAATGACATTGTTAGGCACGGGTGGGAAAAGGGCCTGAACATCAACATAACGAATAATCCTTCTTTCTTATGTTACATCAGATGTGTTGAGAGAAGGGGCCTGGCAGCTTGGGGAAGCTGGGAAAGCTGCTGTTTTTCTGCAGCCATCTCACATACAAAGCGGTGGGGATTGTGCAGTAGACAAGCCACGGCACAGCTCTGCTTCTGAGCTAACTCTACCGAACTATACTCCTAGAATCACCCAAGTCTCGTTCATATCTGTACTCTTCATAAATGGACAATCTTTTAAAACGTTTAACCAGGATACGTTTACTTTCTTAACCTGAGACTCGCAGGGGGAACAGCTATATAAAATCAACAGAAGGGAAGCTGTGCACAAACCTGAAGCAAAACCTGAGCTATGGTTGGGACAGGGACTGACCTCCTGCCCACCCACACTGACTCAAAAGCAAATCTGATTCACGGTCTGCAAAGATCCCTAAGAGCCAGGATTATTTCTAGGTTGACCAACATAAGCTCCCCACTGCCTAGCACATGGTCACACTTAAATCATTATTGACTACCTGACTGGTGATAAACACGTTTCAGAAGGGTTTCGTTAAAGTAGTAGGTACAGTCACAGCAGTCTGTAAAAGATGAATACTTGAAGGTACATCACAACCTTTTACAGAGAAACCTAAAACTAAACTGTCCCACCACCTGCATGGCATATCTTCTGCTATCACACTTGGGAAGTACTGAGGTGTAGCGCTTAGATCACGGGCTTTGAATTTGAAGTCGGATAGAACCGGGTTTGAATTCCAGTTCAACCTCTTCCAAGCAGTGTGACCTTACCATCCGTAAAATAGGATAACTCCTACCTCAGTGTACAACTGCTGAGATAATGTGTAGATAAAGCTCTTTGAACATAGTAAGAGCTCAATCAAGGCAACAGAAGGAGCTTATTCTCCCAAACTGCCTCCTAATTCTTGAAACAGTCCTCACAGGGCTATCTTAATACTATAGTAAACAACTAGTCAATGAAACTTCCATGAAGAAACGATTATTCAAGTCTCTCAAAATACAATCTGGGTACGAGAATTACTTTAAAGAAGTAATTTAAATTACTTAGAAGATCTTTAAGTCACTCAGAGCTAAACACAAGTTAACTTTAAAACTATTAAAAGCGATGCTTCTAATTATAACCAAAACAAGTAGGTAGGCTGAGTACCACCAAAGGAATGTGCTCAATCCAGTTGACACCCCTAATCACACAAGGCTCAACCTTCTTGTTAAGGCTCTAGCTTCCTCTTTGCCTTCAAGTCTGTCAACAAGCAGCGTGATGGATCAAAATGAAGTCTCTATTAACAAGAAAAAGTTACATTTACAAGATCCTTTCCTCTAATCACAATCTAAAAATATTTCTATTGGTAGGAAAAAAAAAAACACTGCCACATTTTAAGCCCTTTGTCCATGCTTTGGCATGATACTTAAATTATAAACAACATTGCAGGGCCTTGAAAAATGTCAACTACAAATCCCAAAAGGGAAAAGGAAGAGGACACTCATTACATGACATACCAGCAGGATTCTTCTACCTCTAGAAAATAAAGTCAATCTTTAAAAACAAGAAATACAAAACCCCAAATCCTAAACACCTAATAATATGATACATAATTATATGATTAGATGAAAGACCAAAGGTCATCATAAGTGATTTATCAAAGAGCAATTTTTTTACTTACATTATTAAGGAATTATGAAGTCCGACGTGCTCACTACTTAATAATCTTTATGCCACTGAAGCCAAATTCTGTACTCAAGAACATTCTGAATTCCATTAAATTTGAGGTAATATGTGTTTGCTTACAAATCTTTTAAGTAACTACATTACCCAAAAGAACCAAAAAAGGGGGGAAAGTTCTAGCTGAAACACACATACAGGGGCTTCAAACAATTCGGTGAATGCATTTATTGAAGGTACAAATTAAAATTCTATTGGCCCCGAGCCTCCAACTGCAAAAGAACTACATTACAGCAGTCCTCCCCCACCCACTGGAGAGATACAACACTTAGGCCACGCCAAACACTGGAACGTAAGGACAAGCCAAAGTATGCAGTCCCTACTACACTTCACTGAGCCATGAGCCTACCAAGCCTCTTCCTCTTTTAGGACATTTTATTTTTGGTCATCCCAAAGAGGAATATGTAGGACTTAAGAGGCAAACTGGGACCCAACATTAGGCAATTTGAAACATTTACCGAAATTAGGATTTATCTTTTCTCTCTCTCTTTTTTTTTTTTTTTTTTTTTTGGTGAGGAAGATTTGCCCAAGCTAACATTTGTTGCCAATCCTCCTCCTTTTGTTTTGAGGAAGATTGTCCCTGAGCTAATATCTATACCAATCTTCCTCTGTTTTATGTGGGATGCCAACACAGAGTGGCTTGAGGAGTGGTGCTAGGTCCACGCCTGGGAACCGAACCTGCAAAGCCCAGGCCACTGAAGCAGAGTATGCAAACTTAACCACTACACCACCAGGCCAGCCCCTGGGATTTATCCTATATAGATACATAGACCATAGACATAAAATAACCTTTGTTCAAGTTCATGTATGACATCATTGTTTCTAATACAAAATAAAAAAGGGATATTCAAACTTTTTTGATAATAGGGAATAAGTTATGTAAATTAAGGAAAATCCAAATAATGGGGCTATATCCAAATATGCAGGTATAAAACTCACTGAAGAAGCTCTCTGAATACTGACATTATGAGTGAAAAACATTAAAGCACAGATTAAGTTGTATAATATGCTCCCATCTGCTAGGGAAGGGCAGGGTGGGAGAAATACATTTATACATTTTTGTTTTTGCGAAGAAGGTTGTCGCTGAGCTAACATCTGTGCCAATCTTCCTCTATTTTGTACGTGGGACATTGCCACAGCATGGCTTGACGAGCGGTGAGTAGGTCTGCACCTGGGATCCAAACCTGGGAACCCAGGGCCACTGAAGCAGAGCTCGCAAACTTATACACTATGCCATGGGGCCAGCCCCTATGTGCTTTTATTTGCATAAAATACTGCTATAAGCATACCAAAGAAACTAGAGATCCTGGCTGCCTCAAGGTAGGGGAAATTGAGGACAAGAGGAGAAAGAAGTTTTTTATCCTTTTACACCTTCTGAATTTCATACCATGTGAATGCTTCTGTGAATGTTTTAACTGATTCGAAAGACTAACTTTTTTTTAACCATTGCTAATTTTTTTAAAAGCCTTTGGTAAGCCTGTTTACTCTTCTGTAAAATGAGGGGGGATGATAATAATAATACCTACTTAATAGAGTTACTATGATGAGAAATGAGATCTTGCATGTAAAGTGAGTCCACGATTCCTGATCCACTTGACAAATCATTTATAGCACCTGTGATTTCCCACTTGCCCCTATTCCTTGTGCCTTGCAGGATGTTGTACACATAGCAACCTCTTAGCAACTGCTTGTGAAATAAATGGATAAGACCTTATAGAAATGATCGCCACATTTCACATCAGCTAGCATGCTGGAAAGCATAACATTTTCAGGATTCAATCATCTTCATACTTACAGGGATGCTCCAGACCTGCATGCCATCACTGTAGCCAATCATAACCAGCAGAGGCGGTTCATTCCCAGTGCTGTGTACTTCATGAAATTCCAGATTTCTTGATGTATCTGCATTAGAATTAAGTAACAAAGAAGCAAATTAAAAAGACACAATGTCAATCAAGTAAACAACTATACTTCTTTAGTGTTATCAGTGCAACAATTGTTTAAATTCTTTTTCAATAAAAAGTAAGCACAGAAGTATTTGGAAGACATCACTTAAAATAAAATTAATAAGAAGCTGAAATTATAAAACTAGTAGTTTTTTTAAAACCAGTACCTATAATTATCAGCACAAGCAAGGTTTTAAAAATCAAATACTCACTAGAGAACTAATGAATATTAACAACAGGAATAAAACCATCTGCAAATGATAAATAAAAATGAAATATTTTACCATAATTAAATATAAATATGAAGTGTAATCACCTAGAATTTCTAATATTTGTAAATTTAGCAGTGCAAGAAAAATTATGTTCCTTTATGTATATGATTAAATCCTGATCTATCTGAAGACACCGCACATATGGTCCACTACAAAAGAATTATATGTACTTGTGTAATCAACTTTTCCAATTCACATTAGTGAATATTAAGTATCTGTTACATAATATCAGTATCATAAAAGATATCCTTACTGAACAAAACTATTGCACCTCAAAAATCACTAATTTAAGCTTTTTTTTTTTTAAAGATTAGCACCTGAGCTAACATCTGCTGCCAATCTTCTTTTTTGTGTTGTTTTTTTCTTCTTCTTCCCAAAGCCCCCCAGTACATAGCTCTATATTCTAATTGTAGGGCCTTCTGGCTCTGCTATCTAGGACGCCACCTCAGCATGGCCTGATGAGCAGTGCTAGGTCTGCGCCCAGGATCTGAACCGGCAAAAGCCTGGGCAACAGAAGCAGAGCATGTGAATTTAACCACTCGGCCCAGGAGAGGCCCCTAATTCAAGCATTCTATTCTCAGATCACAAGCTTATCTTCCAGCAAGTATGCTCAATTACTTCCACTGTGATTCATTCTTCGACTTCATTAGGACCTCCAGGCCACTGACACCCCTGGCTTCTCCCTATTCTTCAGATCCACCTTGTAGTTACTCTCCTCCCATCTTACTGTCTTTGATCAAGCATCTCAGTAACTTCTGTCAATAATCTACATTCCCTTATCCCTTTTTGTGGGATCTTTGCATGGCACCTAACAAGCAAAATCTCAATCACGGACGAACCCAACTACCCACTATCCTAATATGTTCTAAGGCAACCAAGTACTGCTATAGAAAAATCACACAATAAGACAGAATTGGTACCACTATAAATTAATGTATCTCCACAAACCTCAAGGGACCCTCAAAACTGAACAACATGGGGCTGGCCCCATGGCCAAGTGGTTATGTTGACAAGCTCCACTTTGGCGGCCCAGGGTTTCGCCGGTTTGGATCCTGGGTGTGGACATGGCACCTCTCATCAGGCCACAGTGAGGTGGCGTCCCACATGCCACAACTAGGAGGACTCACAACTAAAAATATACACAACTATGTACTGGGGGGTTTGGGGGAGGAGAAAAAAAAACTGAACAACAAATTTACTCTATTTTCTGGAACTTATTCTACAATTTCTTCAGTGAGTGTCTTAAACCTTCTCCAAGGCTTGACTCCACCCAATCTCTCTTTACCCAGCAAATAATCTGTCTCATACTGCACAGGGAAACTAGAAACTTCCTGTTGCCAAAGGCCTATGTGCATCTGTAGCACCTTCCTCTCATTCTATCCTACTACAAACAGTTGTCTTTCCTTCTGTCTAACGTAAGTCCCTCCATCCACGCTTTGGATTCCATGGGAGAGCAGAATTTGCCACCCCAAAATGTATCTCTTTAGCTTGCTTATTTTTAAGAACAAAAGACTCAAGATGAAACTTTGACCTTCCCCCTGTCTAAAAGAATTTAAGATAGAAGGCGTATTTCAGGAAGGAGCTATCAGCATAGATAACTATAATACAAAATAAACTATGTGTGGTAGACTGGGAGGAAGCTAGGCAAGGCCCATTAATCAAAGTCCTCCCCATATCCCATTGTCTTTGCAAGATAAGGCAAACATCTGTTTACCAAACATTTGCTTTCCATCTCCATGTGATCTGCCTTCTTCCCCTTTGACTTCCCAAACCACTACCCCCAACATCTTCCACTGTCTTTAGTTGAAGATGGTATTTAAGGCAGTGGCTTCAGCCATTTTGGCAAGGTACTCAGTTTTCCTGGGTTTCTCCCATGTATACATGTTATTAAACTTTGATTTTCTTCTGTTATTCTGTCTCATGTCAATTTAATTATTAGACCAGCCAGAAGAACCTAGAGGGTAGAGGAAGAGTTCTTCCTCCCCTAGAATCCCATCCTCCTCCACCTTCTCAGGAGCCTTTTCCAATCATTCCTCTCCCATATCTTCAATTCCTTCCATGCTACTGGATATTTTCAATGAGCATTTAAACATGCTGAAGTGTTTCTTATCTTAAAAAATTTCAAACAAATCAGCACCAGGGAATTTTAGATATAAATGACAAAGACAAAATTAATAAAACACTAGAGGATAATGTAGAAATGTATTTTCATGATCACGGTATAAGGAAAGACTTCCTAATAGGACACAAGAAACTCAACATAAAAGACTGGCAAATTCTACTATATTATTTGCTACATTAAAATGAAGAACTTCTGTTAACCATGAGGCACCCTTATCAGAAGAGTGAAAAGGCAAGCCACAGCAGGGGAGAAGAGACTTGCAACAATTATAACCCCACAAGGATTCACCTGGTACACATAACAATTAAAAATCTATATGAAAAAGGTAAGTCATTAGAAAAAGAGGCAAGAGACATGAAAAAACACTTCAAAAAGAAGATATTCAAATAACTTAATCATTAACAAACACACAAATGGCTCAACCTCATTTTTAATCAAGAAGTGCTAATTAAAACCACAGTGACAAAACCAAGTGTTGCGGGGCCGGCCCAGTGGCGCAGCGGTTAAGTGCACACCTTCCGCTTCGGCGGCCCAGGGTTCACCAGTTCGGATCCTGGATGTGGACACAGCACCACGTGGCAAGCCATGCTGTGGCAGGCATTCCACATATAAAGCAGAGGATGACGGGCAAGGATGTTAGCTCAGGGCCAGTCTTCCTCAACAAAAAGAGGAGGATTGGCAGCAGATGTTGGCTCAGAGCTAATCTTCCTCAAAAGAATAAAATAAATTAAAAAAATTAAAACGCAAGTGCTGGCAGAATTTGGAGCAAAGGGATTGCCTGCTTACTGCTAGTGAATATAACTGGTACAACCACTTTGAAAATAGTTTGATAATATACATATGCTCAAGTTGAAGATCCCACGCCCCTTGACCAAGTAATTCCACTCCAGATATATACCTATTAGAAGCATGAGCACATGTGCACCAAGAGCCATGCACATGAATATTCACAGTACCATTTGTAAAGAGCCGGAAGCTGGAATCAATCCAAATGTCCACCATCATGAGAATGGACAAGGACAGTGGTATACTGCTATAATGGAATACTATTTGGCACAGAAAAAGAATGAACTACTATCATACACTCCAACATGGACGAACCTCACAGACATAATGAGCAAAGCAAACCAGACACAAAAGACTATATACTGAATAATTCTAGTCATACAAAATTCAAAATCACTAGGCAATTAGGTAGCAATATTCTATTTCTTACCCTACGTGATGGTTACACAGGTGTTGGATTTGTAAAAAGTCATTCATTGCTCTATAGTTTTGTTTTCTATTATTTACCATAATATGTTTGCACAATAAATAAGATTTTTAAAAATCATACATTGAATCAATAATACCCCTCTTCCTTTATTTGACTTCATCACTCTCCTCTCCTCTAGAAGTTAAATTCCTTCACTGAGTTATATAACTGTCATCTATTTTTCATCTCATTCACCTCGAATCCATTTCAGAATGGTTTCTGCCTCTGATACTCCTCCCAAATGACTTTCCTATGGTCACCAGTAACCTCCAGGTTGTTGAATCTAATATAGATCTTTCAAGCATATCTTGTTAGACTATTCAACAGCTATAATCAATGCTCACCATTTTCTCCTTAAAATATTTTCCCTTGGTTTTCCAGGCATAATCTACTCCTACTTTTCCTCCTACCTCTCTAGTCACTCCTTTATCATTTCCTCTGCTGCCTCATCCTTTTCTACCTACTCTTTAAACACCTGAGTTACGCAAGGCTAATTTCTACACTTCCTTTTCTCCTCACAGTATATCCTCCACAAGTGATCTCATTCCACCCATTGCATCAGTTCATATCTGTTAGCGACTTCCTCAACACAGGTTTCTGGTTATCTCAAAAGAAAATCAAATTCCACTCAAAGATCACAATTTCCTCCTCAAACTGGATCTTCTTCCAGGGTTCCCTATTTTGGTGAGTAGCATGATTATCTATCTAGACGGCAAAGTCAGGAACTGCCTTCTTCCTTCCCTCTAGCAATAAATCTATCACCAATCCCTGTGTCTTCCTCAACACCTCTCTTCTTACACCACCACCATCCCTGTCCACTACAACATCTCCTCCAAAAGCATAAATGGCTTCCTGCATCCACATTGCCAGCCAAACTCCATACGACAGTCACACTGTTCTCTTTAAAGCACAAATAATGACATACCTCCTCACCTCCATCCTCCACATTAAAGACTTCCTGTTGCTTAAACATAAAGATCAAAATCTTTAACATAGCTTATAATCAGTAATTTTTTATGCTGACTTTCTTTTGAAAGGAATTCACCGGCTTAAAGTTAACAGCACATGATTCTATATCCAGCAAAATGCAGAATTATCAAACATTTTCCTAGGGCATAATTAATTCCCTTTATATCTAACACTTAAATGGTCTTTCATAATTTTCAATGTGCTTTGGTATATACATCATCTAATTGGACACACGACAATCCCGTTTTATATGCAGAGCAGGAGTCAGTCTCATCTCATCATTGTCAAGAACATGTGAGGCTGAATTTACTCAAAGCTGAAGAGAATCTCAGGACTCT